TGTGGTCCTTGAGAGGCAGGCCCAGCATCCGGGGTCCCATTCTGAAGTTCCACATGACTTTGCACTGCCTCTCCTTGGGGAGGGGCACAGGTTTATGCCATTGCACCTGGGTGATTGTATTTTGTTAGGTAGGAGTATTTTTAAAGAAATCAACCTTAATGAACTATAATTCATGTCTAAGAAAATATACTAGGGGCTGGGGCTGTGGTCCAGTGGTAGAGCACTTGCCTAGCATGTGTGAGGCACTGGGTTCGATTCTCAGCACCACATATAAATAAATGAATAAAATAAAGGCCCATCAACATCTAAAAAATTTAAAAGTAAAAGAAAATATACTGCTGGGCACGGTGGTGCACACCTAAAATCTCACAAGTTTAGGAGGCTGAGGCAGGAGGATCACAAGTTTGAGGCCACCCTTAGCAACTTAGAGAGGCCCTAAGCAACTCAGTGAGACCTTGTCTCTAAATAAAATATAAAAGAGGGCTGAGGGTGTGGCTCAGTGGCTAAGCACCCCAGGTGTTAACCTCAGTGTGTGTGTATAGATAGGTATCTGTGTCCACATGTTCACAGGAGCATTATTCACAATAGCTAAAATATGGTAGGAAGTAACTCAAATGTCCCAACAGATGAATGGATAAAAAGGTGGTCAACACATAAAATAGTTCACCTTAAAAAGGTGGAATATTCTGGCACATGCTACAACATGAATGACTCCTGAGCACATTATGCCAAGTGAAATGATCCAGTCCCAAAAATATTGTATGATTCCACTTACATGAGGTACCTAGAGTAGTTGAGCTCATAGAGGATCCCCCCACACCGAATGGTAGGTGGTAGGGGCTGGAGGAGAGGCATGGGAGTTGTTTCCTGTGTTCAGAATTCCAATTATGTGAAACTGGAACAATTTTGGAGACAAGGCAGTGATGTGTGCACAACAGTGTGAGTGTGTCTGATGTTCCCATTCACCTAAAAGTGGTTTGCTTCCTCACAGAACTAGAAAAAAGTCCTAAAATTCAGTTGAGAGAATTGAAGAGTCAGAACAGCTAAAGCAAACCTGAGCAAGAAAGGCCAGGCATCAAAACCTGACTGCAAACCACACCACAGGGCTCTAGTAGCAAAGCTGCACGCCCTGGAATCAAAACAGACACACAGACCAGTGGTCCAAAACAGAAGACCCAGAGACAAACCCACACGGATACGGTCATCCGATCCTTGACGAAGATGCCAAACACTACATTGGAGAAAAGGCAGCCTTTTAAATCAGTGGTGCTGGGAAAACTGGAAGCCTCTATGTAGAAGACAGAAACTAGATCCCCCACCCTGCGCGAGTCAACCAACGGTGCAGCAAAGACATTGGAATTAGACCAGAAACTCCGCAACTGCTAGAAGAAAACATAGGGTCAACACTGCAACATAGAAGCACAGACAATGACTTCCTCAAAAGGACTTGTGAAGTTCAGGAAATAATGCCAAGAATTAATAAATGGGACGATATCAAATTAAAAGGCTTCTGCACAGCAAAGTAAACAATCAGAGCACAAAGAGAGTCTACAGAATGGGAGAAAAATCTTTGCTAGCTACTCTTCCAACAGAGGATTAAATCCAGAACATGCAAAGAATTAAAAAAAAAATTACCACCCAGAAAACAAATGATCCAATCAATAATGGGCAAATGAATTAAACAGACACTTCTTAAAAGAAGAAATACAAATGGCCAATAATTCTATGAAAAAACCTCAACATCTTTAGCAAGTAGGGAAATGCAACTCAAAACTCCACTGAGATTACATCTCACTCCAGTTAGATCAACAGCCATGGATAGTACAAATAATAAATGCTGGATGTGGGGAAAGGAACAYTGTTAGTGGGATTGTGAACTAGTACAATCACTATGGAACCACCATACGACCCAACCAGACCACTCCCCTGTGTTCATCCAAAAGAATTAAAGTCAGCGTGCTCTAGGGACACATGCAGAGCCATGTTTATGGCAGCACAATTCACAATAGCCAAATTAGGAAAGAAAACTAGGTGTCCATCAACAGATAAATAAAGAAGATGTGGTGGAGATACACAATGGAGTTTTACTCAGCCACGAATAAAAATGAAATTATGTCATGTACAGAAAAATGGATGGAAGTTGAAATAAGTCTGAGTCAGGAGCTCAAGGGTCATATGTAGAAGCCAGAGAGGAAAATGGGGGGAGAAACGGGGTGGGGGACTTCACAGAAATGGAAGGGGAAAGGAGTAGAGTAGAAGAAGAGGACCAGGAGGAGGAGGGAGGAGAGGAGAGGGGAGGTATTGGGRGGACAGAACTGACCCAATTATATCATCATGTTGTGTGCATGTATGAATAAATAACAATAAATCCCACTTTTATATGTAATTACATATAACTTTTATGTGTGACTAGCAATTTTAAAAAGCAAAAAAAATTAAGTAGAAATTTCACAGGACAAAAATAACGGTAAATTTTACATGTATTTTGGAACAATTTAAAAAATTTTAGTCCTTTCAATTAAAATATTTTAGTGCACCAACTCTGAGTGCACACCGTTCAATGAGTTCTGGCCGGTGTGTCCAGTGGTGTGATCAGCCCCATCATCAAGACAGAAGGCAGCTCCACCATCCCAGAATACTCCCTGGTGCCCATCTGTCGTCATGGCCCATCCTGACACGCCACACATCATGGCCCAGGCCACAGATCTGCTTTCTGTCCCTGTGGATGAGAGTTTCCTGCTGTACAATTTCATGTAAAGGTCACCACACAGCGTGCGCCTGGACTCCTCTGCTCCAGGCTCCCTTCACCAAACACAGGTTTCCGAGAGGTACCTGCAATGCGACACCTGTCGGTAGGTGGTTCTTTTCACTGCCCAGTCACCTGTAGTCCTGCAGGGACAGCGCCCTCCACTCTCCCTTCTCCTGCTGATGGGCAGTTGGCTGCTTCCCAATGTTCCTGGTCAGGACTGTTACGAATATCTGTGTGCCCATGTTCTTACTCTTATGGATAAATACTTAGGAGAGGGATTACTGAGTCACATGTTAAGATTATGTGTGTAAGAAAGGGACACCCTTTCTCCAGGTGGGCGTAGGGTCACAGTAGACCCCAAAAGACAGTCCACGTCCCAACCTCCAGAGCTTGTGAATGGAAACTTTTGGAAAAAGGGTCTTTGCAGATGGAATTAAGTTAAGGATCTGCAAAGGAGATCATTTTATATTTAGGCTGGTGCTCCAACCCAGTGACAAGGGTCCTTATTAAGAGAAAGATGCGGGGGCTGTGGGGAAAGTGATCTGGAGGTGGACATAGAGACCAGAGTGACAATCCACCAGCCAAGGAATGCGAGGTCTGCCCACAGCTGCCAGCAGCCAGGACGGAAGCATGGACTGGCTCCTCCCCAGGGCCTCAGAGGGAACCAACCCTGTGGGCCCCTTGACGCCAGACTTCCGCCTTCCTGAACTGGGAGGGAATAGGTCGTGTTGTTCCCGTGAGCCCTTCTGAGCCACCTGGTACAGCAGCCTACCAAGCAAGGACAGCAGTCATGTGGTTTGGCATCACAGATTTCTGGAAAAAGGTGTGTAGTGTGAATTCACTCCAAATAGCMAAGGGCAGGACGTAATAGAATGTGGTGGACATCTATTTTAAGGGACGGTCCCTTGTCCACTGCCATGCAAGTCTTCCAGGACTGACAATCAAGGGACCCCCCTACATTCTCTGCTAAAGAATGTTATGGCTGGCTGGGGCTGCAGCTCAGTGGTAAAAGCGCTTGCCTTGCATGTGTGAGGCCCTGGGTTCGATCCTCAGCACCACATAAAAATAAATAAAGGTCCATCAACTAAAAAGAAAAAAAATATATATATATATATGAATGTTAAGGCTTCTAGGAGATGAATTCACCCTTCCAGGAAAAAGGGAGGAGTCCCAAGGGGGTCTGAGCCAATCAGAGGCAGGAGGGCAGGGCAGGAGCCTCAGTGATGAGGGGGAAGGGACCCAAGAGCATGCTTGCCCAGCTGGGTGCAAATTCGGTGGTGGGCATTAAAGTCTGAACAAGACCAATCAGAGTTTTTTTTCCCTGATTAATATGGAGGGACAGAGAGGAGCCACATTTTGCTACCTCAGAAATTATCTGCCCTGTGGGCAAATATAGCAGGACCTGCTAATCTCTTAAAATTGCAGCAGGTCCTGTAAACGTCTCACTCCGACACTGCCTCCCTCCCTCTCTTCCTCAGTGGCGAAGCCTTGCACCCCATGATGGAGACCAGACATGACACATGCCCACTTCCCAGAGTGCTTTGCAACTCAAGGAGGCCACAGAGCCCAGTTCTGGCAAAAGAGAAACTAGTGCCCTTTCGGGGGAGAAAGAGCTGAGCACAGAAGGTGAGGCCCGTCAACACGGCCTGCTTTAATGCTGCTGGGTGAGGACATCATGCTTGGGGTGGCTTCAGACAGCTTGTCCTCGTGAGGGGAAGGCAAAGCCAGTTCGGAGATGCCAACTCAGGGGCTGGTGTTGTGGAGCCTGGTGCCTGAACTAACCCTAAAAGATTTGTTGGGAGCACAAGAAACCTCCATCCCTTAAGCCCGTTCCGTTTTGTTGTTGGGTTTTGTTGGTTGGTTTTTGCAGCCGAAGGCGTTGTAACAGATGCAGCTTAACAAGCCTGGATGCCAAGCAGTCATCTTGTTACCACTGTGAGACCTAGATGGCCACAGTGGAGGGCACAGACGTGGAAGAGGCACTGGACCCCTGCATCCAACTAGGCCTGAAGTCCCTGTGTTCCCCCAAACTCCCCACGAACAGAAGAGGTCTTTCAGTTCTCTTGGAGGATCTGTGTAGCATTTTGTGACCTATAACACAACAGTCTTGGCTAATGGAATCTTTAGCAACTATGTTTCAGAGGGATGGACGAAGCTGGCCAGCCACGGAAGGAAACACACCTGTGTCTGAACGCTCAGCCGGCATGTTCCAGGACAGCTTCTCGGTCCCAGAGAAGACAGGAGCCGCCAGTGAGTGAGACCCACGGAGTGTGTTTATTCTGGCGTTGATAGCAGCAGCGGTGGGGGGATCGGCCAGACACGGGGTGTGGCGAACACAAGGGGTGGACACAGGTGTGAGCGAGTGTCTGGGGGGACACAGAGGACTGGTCTGTTGACATTCACACTCGTACAAGGGTCAGGACACCAAGTCTGGGACAACAGTCAAGAGACAGAGACAGAGGGTTTGTGGGGTGGGGGTCCCCCAGACATGCACGGCCCCTTGCCTCGAGGGGGAGCCCCAGGAGAGAGAAGACAGACAGTGGAGGCTGAAAGCCCCCCACCCTGAAACAGGGAGCTGGGCCTGCCTCCCCGCCTCCCGCTCCAGGGGGAGGAAGGGCAAGCCCAGGGCTGCCCCGCACCAGCAGCTCGGACATTATGGCTTCGAGGAGATGAGTTCACAGTCCGGGCAGGAAGGGATGGGGGCCTGGTCCGATCCCGGGCCTAGGCCAGACCTGCACAACAGGGCAAGAGAGGGAGGTCAGCAACCAGAGAGTAAGGTCATGACCTTTCCAGTCCCCATCAGTGGGGACCAGAAAGCCTAGGCCTTGGCCTTCCCTCTCTCAGACCCAGGGGTCCAGACCCAGCCTCCTCCCTCAGACCCAGGGTCCAGGCCCAGCCTCCTCCCTCAGA